GGGTGCGCACCACTGGCCGTGACGCCCGCAGTTCCGTCCCCACGTCACATTCGGCGGCTGACGCTGCCGACGTCCTGTGAGGGTGCACTGTGAGACCGCCCACCAAACCATCGCCTCATGGAAGCCTACCGGGTACGAGCGCGGAGATGAGCGTACGCAGGCTAGGAAGTCGCCGCCACCAGCCCATAGCATCAGCATCGCATGTGTCATATGCTTAAAGAGGTAGCACAGTCCGTACGCACTAACAAATTGCTGGGGACCAAATGGATGGCCAGCAAGCCCTAGCACCCTAAAACGCCTTGCCCGTCTCAGGCGGTTGGTCAAGAGGAGTGTTCACCACGCCAAGATTTGGTGACTTGCGAGAAGGATCACGAAAGGGTTCGGTGACTTGTGAGACCGACCACGACAGGCTTCGGTGACTTGTGGGAAACACACACCTGATGAGCACTGTCGCCTAACGCCTTACCTTGCGTCTTGCGTCACGCCAGAGTTAATTTTTTTCAGCGCCGGAATTTTTGAAGCAACGGTGTTTTGACAAAGTGGCGGCAGCGTCGTGAAATCCCTGGGTTTTGGATGAGGTATGCGGTACCAAAAGACGCCCAGAGCTAAAGATGATGGTAGTGAGCTCGCCAGCTGCAATCCAAGCGCAGAACACCGCAGAGTAGACCAGTGGGTCCCCTCCACATCACCGGAGGCCGGGCCGTCCCTGTGGGAGCCAGCTCACCGGCGCCGCTGGCCGGTACCGATCGGCACGGAATGGGACGTCCTACGCCACGTGTGTCACTTGATAGCCTTTCGCGATTGGCCGAGGTGGCTTATGCCGCATTGCTGCACAGTACGACACGACCGTGATGTTAGTATTTCATGAGCTAGTATTAAGTTGTCATCGGCTACGCACGTGGACAGACATGATGATCGACCGAGGCACAGTGTCCACAACACTGTACGTTGGCCCTGGCGTTGAGTTTGTCGTGGCATTCGCTGATAGGGTGTTTTTGCACCACTAAGTTGCTGTTTGACTTCGGCAAGCATATGCGGTTTGTACCTTGTCTCGGTGTAGATTCGTGTCGTTGCGTAGCGTAGTCGTGATGCAGTGGCCATAGTCACTGCAGGAGCGTTCTGACTTTTCGTGACTTGACTCGTCTTCACGTCATTTTTGTGATGAGGGGTGTCATTTATTGACCGCGAACCTAAAACAAGGACATCCGTGAGGAGTCATGTGAGAAATATTGCGGTGATTTTCACTTTATCTCGTTATCTTGTTCACTATTGAACTGGCTGGAAGCCTGCTTAAATCCCTTGCATTTCCCACCACCTCTTTCTATCTTGCTTAGTTATTAAACGGACTGGCGGCTGTCCGTTGGCGCACAGCTGTTGAGCCCGGACCAAGAGAGTCTTGCCGGTCAGTGCCGAGCCATCCCTGGCCTAGGCACAGGGCAGTCTTCTGCCCGGTGACCTTATTTGTTTAGCAGCCCGGCCCAGTAGCCATAAAAGGTGAGCGAAGGATGGGGCCGCGCCACTGGAAGACTTACTTGGTTAAGTCCTAGGTAAACAGTTTGCCTAGGCTGTATGGAAATCCACCAATATTCTTATACTGTTTGACCGATAAGCATTCCTGTCGTTGTTCGTGATGGGCTGATTGCCAAGTGGGAGGGGGGGGGAGCAATTGCGGCTAAGCAAGTCACCGCTGGGCACGTGACCACGGCGCACGACAGCTGGGCCTGGTGTTGCATAGTTTAGACCGCTATGCATCGTTTCCGCTACCTGAAATATCAGAAACAGAAGAGTCGCTTGCTGGCAAAATGCCTAGGCGTTAAATGCCGATATTTTTATTTTCACTGTAAAAATTAGTCATCAGATGACACATTGACTTGCGGGCTCGTTCGGAACATTCTATACTATACACCCGTGTGCGGGCTACCGCTCGCATGCCACCGGACACTAATTCGCAGCGGCTGCTGACCGCACACTCAACGACTCAGAACACTTGTTGCCCCACGCTGAACACAGTTGCAAGCGTGCTTCCGCCGGAGCAGCGCTGCGTGTGCAGGTTGCTCGTTGACATGTAACGACCCTTAATGGACCAGCCCCCGCAGGTGCTCGAGCCGTCCCCAGGGCGCTCCGCCGGCAATTAATCTCGCCAGCTTGTGCCGGTGCCGCAAAGCTTGGCGGCGCCGGCGGCTTCTCCCGGTCCCGAGTAACGGCCTGTCCGTCTGGATGGCGTCGCCCGCGGCGGTGATCGGGTACGACCGGCGCCAGCGCTCTGTTGACGCGGGCGGCATGGTGACGCCCCCGCAGGACGCTCGGCGCTGTCCGGCGGCGCGCCCGTCTGCGACCCGGGCCACGAGCGACCACACGCGCCATGTCCAGCCCGTCCGGTCCTTGTCATGGTGAGTGGGCGGCGACTGGGCGCCGCCTCCGGTCCCTCTGTCCTCCTGAGCACCTCACGCGCCATGTCCGGCCCGCCCGGTCCCTGCCGTCATGGTGAGTGAGCGTCGGCTGAGAGCCGCTTCCGGTCCCCTCCCCAGCACCTTCGCTTAGGGCAGACCGCTGGAGGTGCTGTTTATGGTATGGCTGTGCCGGCTTTGCCATGAAGTCGAGTTATTAGTGATTGGTGGTTGAGACGGAGTTTGTTTATTTTTTGTGCGCTCATGTAGCGTACGCTAAACCTTGTTTGGAGTGTATGTTAGACTGTTGGGGCGTAACGGCAGTTAACTGCGTGTGTTTTCAGATTAGAAGGCGCAAAAAGAGCCTGCATTAGCGTCAATCCAGCGCTGCCATGGTCGCAAACGGCACTCCCGCCAAGGGTCCGGACGGGCAGGTACGGAGCCATAGTAGCGAAGCAGAAAATGTACTTAAAGCGTACTTCAGGCAGTGTTTGCATTTGGCCCGTTTTCTCCGCCTAACGTTACTTATATGTAGCTGCTACTTTCATCGAACGTGATGGGAACGCTCTCGGTGCCTGATCATGTGAAATTGGTTTTGGCATCGCGTGCTCGTCTCAAGCACCATCCTAATGCCGCAGCAATGTGCTGAAACAGGTAGCGGACTCATGCTTACTTGCATTGAACACAACTTAAACGTTGAAATAACATTTCAGCCGCTCGGATACCAGGAGCCGACGCCTTTCTACACGCATCTGCTGCGCTTCCTTTTCGGACATGTCGGCTTGTTCTTTCTCGTGGCCGGCTTTGCAGTTGTCGGTAAGTGATTGGGAGCACCCTGGCAGGACAGGGATAGAAAAGCAGTAGACGATTAATCAACGAGGATAGGGAATTATCGTATCATAAGACATGGAGGTGGCAGCATCGGTGTGGTCTGGTTTACCTGAGCACCTTGTTCTTTTGATCTGTTATCAGTCGCCCTTATGGCGGTTTGAATATGAGTAGTCATGGCAGGCGTAACGAAAGACAAAAAAGGAACCCTTGTTGAATCAAACATGTTAGAAGATTGTGAAATGATAGGGTGTCAGTGAGAGGACCGGTAAATGTTGCAAGTGGATAAATAGACGAGCACACTGGTCAACAGCGAGCGCACGGGCTGCGCTGTGGAAGAGCAGACACATCAACACGGAGTGGGCATGGCTTGAACTGACAGATGAACACTCCGAACAGATAGTGAACAGGTAGATAAAAGGAAACAAACAAGGCGGAGCAGCCGCAAATCAGACTTTCTTGGTAATTGATGAATGGACTGGTGATCCTTGAGAAGCGGGGGACCCGCTTACTGGATGGACACTACCAGGTGGATTAGAAAACCAGCTGTCTGATACCCCGTCGAATGAAAACACACTGCTTTAAGTGACTCCTTATAAGCTTAATTATATCCCCGTTTTCGAAGCGATTGATTATGTTGGTGCACAACGACAGCTAGTAGGATATCACAATTCAGCTGACTGCTTGGATACAAACCTGAACGTGTTTGGTACGTGTGTGAGTATCAGTCGTGAAGGTGTATCGAGTGCAAGAAATGCGCGCTATTTAGCACACATGGCTGAAAGCAGTCACAGCAGCGTGCTAAAAGCAGAGCTAGGTTTGAGCTTAACACGCGATTTGAACGGTAGCCGACATGGTTCAGTGTAAATGGCACAACGCCGTGCTCATAACTGGCTTGGGAAGTGCTTGCACGCAAATTGGTCGTGTCATGAAACAGCTGAAAGGAACTGGCGTACGGAAGGAAATCAACACGTATAGCCAACCTCAACGTTAGCGTACTATGGCATGCTTTGTTGATCATGAGTGTACTGCTAGCGCGCACTCTGAGCTCGAAGCCCCACACCCCACCCAACATCCCATCCCCGCTTAACCCGCGCCCGACCGGGGGTTTGAGACAAACACGCCCAGCCGGGGGAAGCTACTTCCCCTGAGGTTTCCAGCTTCCACAAGCTGCATGAGAAAAACAAAGATATTTGAAGTTCTCCTGAAATCATGAAAAATGTTATTATGGTGACCTATTATGCTTGTTGTGACCCCATCACCTATTGTTAATCATTATAGCGTTAAAATGATATCACAACCTGTTTTCGAACTATGCGTCCCAAATTACCGTATGAAGCTGCCTATGTTGAGCTCAGCATGTGTTTTGCAGATGGTACTCAAAGAGATGGGTTATGACCCGAGCCAAGGTCATGTGCTCTGTGGTCACGTGATGGCTATGCATGTAAGTTAATACTCTGCCTCACATACAAACGCCCAAACTTCTAAAAATGCGTACAAGTTTGTATGATTTACGAAAATTGGTAAAAATTTACCTGGCTTCAGGCCTTTGACTTGGTATCTTCAAAACAAAAAGAATCCGAAATATAAAACTATAGGTGCGAGCATGATCTATTCTTATCACAATTCTGCGTTGTTCTTTGCGAGCGTCGTTTTTTGCCTGTGCTTTTCAAACCGTGGGCGTAAGTCAACCCCCCCCCCCCCCCCCCCCACCGACCAAGCGCGGGTCAAAGCATGATAATGTCGCAGCTGTGCTGTGCTGGCAACCACGATGCCACGACGCCGCGCAGCCCGCAGACATCAACGACTTCGAGCGTGTATCACTGACTGGCGTCTTCGCGATGTACCCAGGCAACGCGACCACACAGGGCAGCGCTGTTTGTCGATACGGCCGGGGTGGCCTGCGTTCCCTGGGCGATGGGACGCATAAACACGGCAGGTACCGAGCGAAGAAATCAATACAAGCCGCTGGTCAATGGATACCAATCACGTACCAAGAATGGGTGGCGACCTCGTGGCTGGTGGACTTTCGAGTCATGCTGACTTCAAGTGTTTGGCCAGAAGTGGATGATTAAGACCCTGACTCACGGTACCGGCACGCTTCAAAGGGGTTGGGCCCGCCAACATCGATGCGGCATGGGTGCTTTATTGCAACCCGCTCGTTCAATTTATAAGAAGCCGTTATTTTTCCGATATATTTGCTTTTCATGCTGTAAATCATCTGCAAATTTTGGGTCCGATACGAGCCCAATGAAAAGCTACTACCAGCTGGTGGTATCTTTATTATGGTGACATTTACGTCTTAAGACCATGCTGCTGCGGGCGAATACAAAGCGTAAAGGTGACAAAGATCCGGGTGTCCGGACTTTGCCGGGCTTAGACACTGTTTTTTTTCTAATCAGAATATTATTTCCAAGAACCCTACGATAAGAGTATTCGTTTGCTGGGTTCGATTCCTGTCAGTGCTACATGCCCGCTTTAATGGTCCTTGGCGGTGTTGGGACACCAAACTAGAGACCATGGTGAGCCATGCCGGTCTGAGAGATTTCAGAGATTTTGCGCGCCCAATTGTAACGCCATGCGGTGACCTGGGGTCGGTGGCTCGGATGAGCGCCATGGGCAAGGACGCGAAAACGCCGGCTAACATCCACGAGTGCTGCGGCTGTGGTCCTGTGATGCTGGTCATCTGCTCCGGAGCGGGACCAACTGCGTCGTGCCGTTGCAGGGGCCTGGATGTACGTCCAGATCGAGCTGCCGGCCGAGGAGCAGCGGTACGCTCTCAAGAAGGTTCGCGCCGCCGACATCAACGACGCCTACAACTACATGAGCTCCCTGTTCTGGCACTACCAGGGCAAGAATCTGACTTTTGCTCAGTGGGACCACAGGGTAATGACTGTCTGGCGAAGTGCCCTATTCGACCATGCAGTGTCTAGTCGCTCAGGGCTTTGAGCTGTACTTTGAGCTGCGTAAGTTTTTTCAGCATTGCATTTAAATGTATAAAAGTCGCGATTGGCTGGCGAAATCATATGTTTCTAAATAAGGACATCATGGGATCGCTCGCCAAGCCGGGACGGCTGACATTCTCCAAGCCACTGGGATATGGGAAACAATTTTAGCCTTAATATAAAAGCATGCATCTGCGCTCAGTAGGCATAGAGATTTAATGCGCGATTGAAGGTCTACGATGCAAAATATTTTGAGTCGTAACTTGTATCAAGTACAAAGCATGTTGCTGCCGAAGTGGCTTACTTTTCTTAGCCCCTTGCTCTTCCACACTAAAAAAGTTAGCGGCTGCTGATGATTATGATATGATAAACGATCCGATGTTATTCATGCAGGGACCAAAACACCTCCTAAACAGCCTCTACGAATCCGAATAAAGTTGCCATTTTTCGCTGGTAGATCAAGATCAACCTGAAAACGATGGAGCAGTTCATCATAAACGCAGTGGAGAACTTCAAATACGACGGGACTGTGGACGAATGGAACTACGACTGGACGTTCCCCAAGGCGCTGCTCTTCACCATCACCATCATGACGACCATCGGCTACGGTCACATCGCGCCCATCACCTTCACCGGCCAGATGTTCACCATCTGCTACGCCATGATCGGCACGCCGCTGCTGCTGGTCTTCCTGGCCAACGTGGGCGACTCCATGGCATCGGCCTTCACCCTCACCTACAGGTCAGGACTGCGACCTCGGTCTTCAGGTGCCCGGTGCTCGAAGGTTAGCCCGGTGATGTGGGCCTTTACATCCATCCGAAGGTCAGGACTATGACCTCGATATTCACAAGCAGTCGTAGCACTCACACCGCGGTGCCGCTGAAAAGGAACAGAGCTCTTCAAGTTTGAACTCACGTCTGAAACGCTGCGATGAACTATAGGCTGTTGGCAAGATGCAAACTATGTTGCACCGACAAATATGGACGTCACTGATTTAAGGAACGGTCCGGCTCCATCAATGTACGGAATAGTGTATAATTTTAGTCAAATGCTGTTAAACACTGCGGGTGATAACCCTGCCTTCGTGGCAGTGTTGAAGTGCATTTTTTGTGGATATATATATATATATATATATATATATATATATATATATATATATATGTGTGTATATATACATTTATATATATATATATGTATATATATGCGTGTATAACACTGTATATATGTATGTACAGATTACATATGTGTGTGTATATACATGTATATGCATATATACATATATATATATATATATATGTATTTATATTTATATATATACACATATATGTAATAGGAGAACGAGTTTACGAGTCATGTGCGACACACTCAAACAAATAAGTCTTTGGGCCCACGACTAACCTACCTGAAGTGAAATCGGATCAACTCTGGGTGTATGGTGGCTATGCAAATCAGTTCCCAATCCGGTGTAGTGAGGGACGACGAAGCCGAATCAGAATATCATGCGGGCCAAATTCGAATCGATTCCCGAACTATATCCATTCCTCCGAAGCCAAACCCAAGCTTGCCCATGTCATTATCAGAATTCGTCATTGCCCCAACAAATCGCTGAAAGTTGGTTGTTAATTTTGCCGCCGTTATACCACCTGGAGTCGCCGTTGGAAGCGGTGAGCCGATCTCGTATGGGGACCGGCGGTCGCCGTTGGAAGCGGTGAGCCGTTCTCGTGTGAGGACCGGCGGTCGCCGTTGGAAGCGGTGAGCCGATCTCGTGTGAGGACCGGCGGTCACCGTTGGAGGCGGTGAGCCGATCTCGTGTGAGGACCGGCGGTCGCCGTTGGAAGCGGTGAGCCGATCTCGTGTGAGGACCGGCGGTCGCCGTTGGAGGCGGTGAGCCGATCTCGTGTGAGGACCGGCGGTCACCGTTGGAGGCGGTGAGCCGATCTCGTGTGAGGACCGGTGGTCAGCGGTTATGCGGCCCTTTCAGCCGGGTGTGCTGCCGCTGGTGTCGCGCCCGACGCTACCAGGCCGAGGCTGGCTTCGGCAAGAAGGTCAGGCGACTCGTCAATGACCAAGTCGGCCATGAGGCGTACATGCCTACCGCTCAGGTCAGATGCCTACCGCTCAGGTCAGATGCCACCGCTCAGGTGGACTGGTCGCGCACGGAGAAGAATGGCATGACACATGTTCATTTGATCCAGCTATGAGTTATTAGCGGTGTTCTGTCTGCAGGCAGGGACCGGTCAGCACTTGTGTTGTGTCTAGTAGCAAAGACACTGTGCTGTTTGTGTATTACTCATGCACGTGACGGAATAATCAAGAACAGACACGGAATGCATCAACTTTGCTGCAGAACTCTTAGTTAGACAAACTATATCCCCCATGTTCAAGACAGGTAACATTTCGCCTGTGACGACGCTGCGTTGTTCTTGCTCGGTGATAAATTGTATGAATTCATCGTTATGTATGGTACTACATTAAATCGCACCGCTTGCTACAGGTGCTGGTGCCCATCACGATCAACATGGTGCTGATCGTGTTCTACCTGCTGATGGGCGCTCTGATCTTCTCCAACTGGGAGGGCTGGGATCTGGGAAGCTCGTGCTACTTTAGCTTCGTCACGCTATCCACCATCGGCTTCGGAGATATGGTGCCGGGAAACAGGTACTCATCCAAAAGACTCTAGCGGGTGCGTCTCACCAGCCGCAGAGCAAAGCCAACCAGCCATCGGCAGCCTACGCTGCGTCGGCCACGCTGTGTTATGAGCTAAACCGCAATGTCTGCACTGACCGATAGCGCGGGAGCGGTGCCATTTTTACGCGAGCCTGCGCCCAGCCCGTGTTCCCTCTTCGGCGACCATACAACGTCAGCTGCGGACATTCGGCGCCAAGGCGAATGGCGCAGACCTCTTCAGATGAGTGCTCTAATGTCACCATTGTCGACAGCTTCCTCGACTACAAAGACGGCGGGGGCGCCGCGTTCAAGATGATCGCCATCACGCTGTATTGCGTTTTTGGTAAGGTACTCATCACTGATGTCTCTTCAGCGTGCACGTATTCTATTGGGCATAATGTGTCTAGTCATGTCAGAGCGTCCCAGAGCAAGTAGGTGCATCTTTGAGTTCAGTGTGCGTCATGCATGTCCTATGTATGCATCACTACTCTTTTTGTGAGTGACGCAGTGTGATCGAATGAAAGTATGGTGCATGTGTCTTCACAAACCTTATGCATATGTTGTCTCTGAGCTCATTCCCTCGCCTCCGCTGGTCTGACGCCGTGCCGTCCTCGCCGGCAGGCATGGCCCTGATCAGCATGTGCATCCAGATGATGCAGGACCAGATAGTCTCGAAGGTGCATTGGTTCGCCGCTGAGGTGGGCATCATCGACTCGGACAAGCGCGCGTCGCGCTCGCGCGTCAAGTACAAGCGCTCGCGCAAGGACCAGGTGCCAGAGACACCGCTCGACGCCGACGGCAACCTGTCGCAGCCCGCGTCCGGCGAGAGGCGCCGCAAGAAGAAGAAGAAGCGCCCCGTCGACCCGGAGGAAGGGGCCGACGAGCCGCTGGCCCCGCCCCCGGCCGCAGCCCCGGCCCCGGCCCCGGCCCCGCCCCCGGCCCTGGCCCCTGCCCCGGTCAGTAAGGTGGAGAGCGCCGATCAGCTGATCGACGAGGAGATGGGCGCGGTGGCGTGAGAGGCCTCGGTCCGCGCTGCTGAGGCCGGAGAGCTGTGAGTGACAGAGGAAAACCACGACCAAGGCGCGAACGAGGACTCGACTCGGATCAACGACCGTGTGGCCTGGCACTATCCGTGCCCATCGGCGTGTCTCACCTGTTTCGAGAGTTCTCCGTCGTCGGCTCACGCAGACGGCGGGCGTCTCGCTATTTGTGCACGTGATCTCCCGGGCTGGCCCGCGGTTTAGCGGTCCCGCTCGGAGTCAGACCGGCCCCGCCCCCCCCCCCCCCTCTCTCCCTCTCCTCCTGGGCCGTCTGACTCCGATCGGCGACTCCGACTCGGGTCCTGCCCGTGCGACAGCCTCCAGGGAAGACCCGCGCACTGGGCTCACTACGACCAATGGGACTGGGGACCCGCGATTCAAGTACACGTGCCAAACAGCGGAGCGGGGAGGGCAGCCGGGGTAGCCCCTTGCTCTTCGACGGCCCATGTGATGCCTTCTCCGCTCCTCCCGCCCAGGCGCCGGCTCTTCCCTTTGTTTGGGAGGGCTACGTACGCTCTTCTGTTGTCACAGTGTGAATGCCCGCGCGCGTGAGTGCAGATGAAGGTCTATTCAAAATAAAGCAAGGCATTCGGTACAGGTGTTTGCTTAATCTCTGAGTGTGAAGCCGTAAAAATTTCGATTCACTCAAAACGATTGGCTTCGAGCTGTGACGCAATTATTCCGACTTGGAATATCGTATTTTGAGCTGACGTCTATGGTAGCCGAGGCATTTGCTGGTATAATACGCAATGAAGCGCCGTCATGTGTTTATGGCCAGATCGGGCTTAACCCTCTTCATTCTTGCACCAACAGTATCACCGAAATGTAACATGGAGTCAAATGAACCTCAGATCTCAGCGTTTTCCCTCACTCAGCATTCCCCTCATCAAGAATTGAGATGAGTTTTGGCCTGGGAGATTAAGTGACTCCTTGTCAAGTGCATTGGTATCCTGAGGAGAGCGTTCAAAATAAACTTCAAAGAGGTAGAGTTTTAAGTTATTTTTGTGACTTTCTGCTGCTCAGGTTGAAGGCTTCCTTCCGCGACTACTGCTAAGTCATAATTGATTATATATAATCATATCATTATTGTTACCTGATAGTAGCTGATAAAAAAGCATGTATAGCTAACGGTAACTCGTAACGTGGCATAGCGAGCGGCATTCGTTGAAGTGCATTATGTGGTTGGTTGTCTGCACCTCCGAACGACACGAGATGGTGCGCACCAGCATTACGTTAGTGGCTCCGGCTGACACATGCAAGCACGCTACCTCAGCTAAACCATACTGGTACCATTGCAGGCATTGAAGCAATTGCATAGCTTTCTTCATGCGATGTAGCCCCAGCAGTGCGCTGAGTGCCACAAACCCATTCATCGCACGGAGGTGCCATTCAGTCCTGCACCGTCGCCCGTCTTGTCTTGGAGCCCCTGTTACTAAGAGTCGGTGCACGGTGCACAGATCGATGACCCGTGCGGCGTTTTAGACTGGCGTCACAGCATCAGTACAACTCGAGGCAAGCATCGCTGTCTTAATGACGAGTCACTTCATTATGGCATGGTTGAGAGCAGGGGTCCCCACGAGGCCAGACGTAGTGGGGGTGTCCCAGAGTAACTTTGTTTGGGAAAACAGGATTGCTCAGCGCTGGTCTGCCTCTCCGGCTCACGGCAAGCTTAATAATGTTTGTTTCACTTGATATAAGAAGGAAAGGCACTCACCTTCTGGTTTTTTGGCCTTATGAGCTTAGAGTTCTTACGTTGAGTTATCGACCTTCAAAATGCCAGCAGGCACTTGTTCAACGACGTTGTAACGCTGAATAATGATTATATTGACGGTACTCAATATAACCCTTATTTTAGCGTTACACCGTCCTTAACCAGTTACTCTTGGTATATTGAAGGTCACTAATCCAGCATGAGAACGTTCAACCCAGAGTGCAAGCTTTGTCAAATTGCATGCATGTTTAGGGATTACGCTAAAATGCTTGAAGTTCGGTAGTTTTAAGTCATTTCGCTGTTAGTAATTTTACATTTTTCACAGCAGCATCTAAGTAGTGTGACACTTGATTAAAGGGATCCGTTTTATGGTATGTGTAGGGAGGGAGGCACCAATAATTGGAAAAGAAAGCATATCAAACCACGTCCAGATGGGTGCAACACGAATTTTTGAGGCGGGAAAGACTCGATGGTGTGTATGCAAATTTGTTGGTACCTCACTTGACCCCTCTTCTGCTCTATTCGGTCTCACTTTGACTTTTTTGCCCATGTTCAACCCTCACCAAGACAAAAATTAGCGCCAATGCATTTCAAATAAAAAGATGTTCCTACAAAGCAGACCTTCACATCTCATCATACCTCCGTACAAATCTTCACGAACACAATTTGTAATGGGTGACATTAAACGGTGGGATGTGTTCAGTGCACATCGATTGGCGCGCGTTCATCTTGTGAGCGTTGTCACCGGCTGCAATAATCATGAGATTATATTCATTGGCATCCCCCCTCTTCAAAATCATGTGTTAATTGCTCACACCACTAAACATCACTAAAAAACGCCTTGTCATTTCTCTTAGCCGGTGATTAAGCAAGCCAAGCCATCTCCGATCTGAATAAGCTAGAACACCAGCCCAGAGGTCTTACCCACCAGATCCAACCGAATTTGATGCATGGGAAGCGAACCCTGGCTATCCGTTTTACAGTGATTTTGAGAGGTGTGCAAACGCTTTTCAAGGTTTTGCAGAAAGGGCTGCGTCAAAAGACTGATATGCTTGCAGGCATTGTAGCCGATGACAAGGCTCAGGAGGTGGAAACCCACTGGCATAACACTTAGCTCGCCTTAAATACGGGAAACAGGCTGTTTATCCTATGTGACGATGCGTGCGAGCATACAGGATATTACGTTGAAATGAAAGGGTGAATGGCACCAAGTCAACGTCTAGCTGGTTTCGTGAGGTCATTTTTGCAATGCTGCTAGGCTTGTCAATAGCTTTATTGTACGATGCATCGGTTAGACTGTCCTCACTGAAAACTTCAGACTTCTGACTGCACGTGCCTACGCTTGCTTTGGTCATGAAATTCGCTGCCTTTGTTGGCAGAGCGCGCTTTTCACGTGATTAATTTAACAATCGTTCTCATATCTTTTGACCCCGTCGATATGTGCCTTTAGACTATCGGGCTTTCAGCATCATTGTATTGTTGGTATTCAACCATTTATTATTTCTGTTGGTGATGGTTTGCTGTTTTAGCTACTCTAAAGTGGTTCCGATAGTGGCCGCCCACCACTGCCAACTGCCGGTTTGCATTCTCGTCGAGTGCCATCTGACTGCAACATCAGCAGAACTTCTCCCCACGTTGAAGACGTCGTATCACAGCAGTTTAAAGCATTTGCCTACACGTCAAGCCCTAGCCGCTGGCTTTGGGTGAGCAGCTGCTGACCATGGGGGCCGGACTGCCTCACGCTCGAGCCGCCCTCACTGACGCCGAGCAGCTGCAGCCCTGTCGTCGGCGGAGGCAGTTTGAAGTTTGCCGGCAAGCCGCCAGGTGTCAGCTGGCGGACGGTGTCACGGCCGGCATTCGGGACGGGCGGCCTCGGCGCCTGAGGCGCGCTCTTGGGCGCCAGGATGAGCTTGCGGCTTGTCAGCAGCCGTTCCAGTCGGGCCAGCGGCGACGGCTTGTGGGCGGCAGGTCCAGGTCCGTTACTAGTCTTCTGCTGGACGGCGGCTGTCTTCCCCTGATCGTGCGCCGAGGTCTGGGCGGCTGCCGCCATCGTCTCCACCCGGCGGACAGCTGCGGTTGAGGCGCCGGCTGCTGGCTCTTTGCTGGAGTCATCTCGGGCTGATGCTGCTGCCACCATCGGCTGTGTAACGGGGACGCTTTCTGTACTGTTAGCTGCGACTTCTGCGGGTGGGCTTGGGGTCGCAGTTCCGTTTCGACGCACGTCATTTGCTGCGCTCGCGTTTGCGCTTGCGTTCTCAGCTGACAGCGGGGAAGTAGAGGAAGATGCTGAAGATTGGTTCGTGGTCCGTTCGACTGGTGGAGCAACGGCGGTTGTGTTTAGTTGTGCAGACTTAGTTGTTAGTGTCTCCCCGTCGACTGCTGGGTTTGACATCGTGGCTGAGCTGTTGCTGGTGCTGTTGGCTTCGCTCGCCGTCGCGACAACGTGTGCTTCGCTCGATACCTGGGCTCCTGTTTCCTGCATGGCAGATGAGCTCGTTTCAGTGGTTACGGTATCATTTGACGAAATGCCTTCTGCCGGCCTTTTCGTGCTGGCTGTTGCTGTTGCTTCCGCAGACGTAGTTACCCGAACGTTGGTGATCGTGGAGCCGGACTGTTGGCTACTCACTGGTTGCAATGTCTTGACGTTAATGGAAGTGGCGGTTGCCTCCCCTGGAGATGATGACTCGCTGGAATCGTTGGCCTTAGACATTTCTGGGTTTCTGTTTGCTCTTAGCGGTACCTTCACCGAAATATCCGGTGCTTTAGCATTCGCTGAAAAACAAACTTAGATGAGCGATGTGACGTACAGCACTTCAGAACTGCTCCCTTTTCTAACCGTGCGTCATCCCAAATGCACTGGAATTCAGCACCCGCATTGATCGTTGCCAACTGCGAAGTACGGACGTGCGGCACACGCTGGCTGCTGGCCGCCATCGAGCGTCAGGGGTCAGAGATCACACGAGGCCCGCCTGGCCGATATGCCACGGTCAACATCGGGTCGTTCGATGCGCCGAGTGAAGCGGCAAATTGAGTTGCGGAACGCGCGCGGACGCCGGCCGGACCTCATGGCCCCGGGGTGCGGCGGAGCTGAGTTTGGCCCCGGCTCTCACCTGCCGAACAGGCGAGCTTCTTGGCCGCCGGGCTGCCGGTCTCCATCACCAGGCGGACGTTGAGAGACGGGTCGGCGCATGTTGCGTTGCTGGTGGCGGCGAAGCCTACTTTCTTTATCGAGTCGGTGCAGTAGCAGCCCCCGCCGCTGGTAGGGACGAGGTGTACGATTTATTCGCTGGAGATAGAGATTTGATACGCTGGGCATGGCCGTCATGTCTGCCCAACACGCCTGGTACGTCAGACTGTGTTAGCAAACTGGCTGCATGAAGATGTTATGACGGCCGCTCAATACAGCGATACTGGCTGTGGTCCTAATATTCCTGAACGAACTCGGGACGCCTTCCGACCTTGCCTTCCCGAACGCTCACTTTCCGTCCTTACCTTACACTCCCGGCGAATGTTCCGTCCTTACCTTACACTTCCCGGCGAATGTTCCGTCCTTACCTTACACTCCCCGGCGAATTGTAACCGTCCATACCTTACCTCCCGCCGATGTCCGTCCTTACCTTACAACTCCCGGCGAATGTTCCGTCCTTACCTTAAAGCCTCCTGGACAGACCTTCCGCTCGTACTTTAAGCCCCTAGCCAAAGCAAACCCACATATCTTACCTGTCCCGATCCACGGACATCCCGTTCCCACCCAGCACCCTCTTCGTGCATATCCTTCACAAACTCACGGCAGAGGACTCGTTCTGCAGAGGGTCATAGACCCACGGCAGAAGGTTCGTTCCGCAGAGGGTCACAAACCCACGGCAGAGGGTCCATTCTGACCTGCCGACCGGCACGAAGACGGCGAAGCGTTGGTCGGCGTGCCGTCGGCATCGACAGGTGCAGACTGTCAGCGAGGGCGGCGATGAGCCCGTCACCCGCTGCAGCTGTGAGAGAGCATGCCTCGGACCCGGCACGTAGCACGGCGCGTCCGGCGCTGCCGGCAGAGGCGACAGATGAGACAGCATGGCGAGCGATGTGGGAAGATCTACAAAGTACGAAAGGGCTGTGGGTCTATTTCGGGTGCAACGTGGCGGTTGTCAGACATTTTTTGGGACTCGTGCGAATTAGATAAGTGATGTAAAAGCTTTTTCGTTTTATTCTGTAGCGATGTCTATTTGACAACACATCTCATACACCACAAAGCGCACGAAAAAAGATTATGCTGGCCTGCAGCCGACAACGAAAAAACCAAACGGTTCGCGGCATGGCGGCGTCCCATGATCACGTTGGGCAATCGTGTCCATCGGCAGATCTTGGGTTTTCTGCGGTATGCACCCACTTCCACCGACAAATGGTTTACTGAAAGCGTTTAGCTATAAGGGCATACTGCGCGAGATGGAGCTTGGTAACCATGCCAACCATACTCACAGAATTCCTCCTTCGCCCCGGAGAAGGCGACCACCAGATCCCACTCAGCTGCGAAGCAATACGCGTCTCACGTTAAGGAGCAGTCACCGGACACAAGACGGCGGCGTAAAAAGCACGATCAATGACCGAAGCCAGGGGCGCTTTTACATATAAAAACACGAGTCCAGGCGCATCCACGACAATCTCCATCAGCGGGCTTTCCGGGATCTCGTGCAGCAGCGAAGAACCGGCACTCCTCGGTCGCCCACTCCCCGCTCATGCGGAGATTGCAAGCCTCGCGGCCCGGCAATCCAGGTGGCCGTGAGCGCGGTCCGCTGGTGTGGGCGAGAGGACAATCAGCTCACCCTGCTGAGCGGTGGCCGTCCAGCACAGGCCATCCACGAGCAGGGTGACCGTGCAGACGAGGGCACGCGGCAGCATGTCTGGGCACTGCGCGCCGGCTTTGTTTGTGCTCGCGCCGCGCGGACGTGTCGGCTGGCCTTGGCACGTGACACGGTAACAAGTGACATGTCATCGGGACTGACGGACCGCCCGCTCCGCTATCGACGACCAGTTCGCAGAAGTTCAAACCTGGCAGGCAGCCGATTTGTGCACGAGGTCGCACCGCTAGCAGTGGGGCAGTGTCACGGATCACCACCTGCGAAAAGAGGGTACTCGCATCCAGAGGAGACGGTGTCATGGCCCAGTACACATAGGGCAGTGCCAGGGGTCAGTACCTATTGAGAGATGGTGTCGGGTGTTAGCACAGGGGCAGCATCAGGGTCAGCAAACACAGAGGGGCTGCGTGAGGGTTCAGTACGCACAGAGGCAGTGCCAGGGGTCAGCACACACAGAGGGGTAGTGTCAGGTAAGCACCTACCGAGAGAGAGAGAGAGAGAGAGAGAAGAGAGAGAGAGAGATAGAGAGAGAGAGAGAGAGATAGAGAGAGAGAGAGAGAAATAGAGAGAGAGAGAGAGAAGATAGAGAAGAGAGAGAGAGCCGGGGACATTGTAGCCCTAGGGGAGTTGGCAGGCGCCAACACTTGCAGACATGACGTCAGACTTTCTATTTTAACGCTCTGTCTTGATCTCTCAGTGTCTCTACAGAGACGTAAGTTGGAATGTCTCCCTAACCTGTTTCGTCAGTTTGAAGTCTTTCAACTGTTGGCTTTTTGGCATATCCTCGTCTTTTGGTTACGGAGAGCATTGTGCGAAACTGGTGGGAAATAAATACAGAACGAAGCTTTCAGTTTTACTTAATTTCACAATTTGATAAGCTTAGGTAAGGTCAGGAGTTAGGTTACGTTAGGTTAGTTTCCAGAGATACTATTGGGAACCGATTTACTCGCAAAGCCTAAGCGGTTAGTTTGTGACATTCGCTTTTCAACACAGCTCTGTCCACTAGTCCTCTAGATTATCTCGTTAATCTTGAGTCTTTCTGCTCTTTGCTTTTTGGTACATTCTCGGGTGTTCAGTAAGATGAACATTTTGCAAAAACGATGAGTAATAAATGCTGAGCTAAACTTGCAGTTTTAATCAATTTTACAGGTTGGTAGGGTGTTTTGTTATTTTCCCGGGACGTTGTTGGAAACTGCTTTACTTACAAAGCGCGGGCAGTCATTTTACGACCCTCGCTTTTCAGTATTGCCCCGTTCATTCACTGACTTTACCCCAGTGTGTTAAAAACTCATATAGACACATAGACATTTTTGTTGCCTTTAATTTCGTTTTACCTTAACACAAATTGCAAACCATTACGAAAAGGGTTTATTCCAAACAAGGAACCAGCATTTGGCTGACGTTCCATAGCATAAATGTATGATGCATAACAGTTAGCTGGAACTCAACAGCAACTTATCACCTGTCAGCTTTGTGTTCGCGTGCGCGTATGCACATAGACAACGAACCAATTAAGCCTCTGAGCATATCCTCCACTGTTGTGGTCGCTTGGGCGGACCAACTTTGAAGTCGGCAGAGAGCTGAGAACACAGCCCGCCTTTGTCCTGTACCAAGCTGCACGTGAGGACCGCTCTTGCGAAAAAAACGCGCGAGGAACCTCAATGGATTTTATTTACATCCACCCTCACGTCCTCGTCTATTCACGTCTGCCTTTGAAGACGGCCAGGCCTTGCTGAGAGTTCTTACGACGTTAAAAACGAGCGTTGCGAGGGAGCCGGCCTCCGGACTACAGCTGGGCCTGCCGCTGCGGCGGCGGGGGGGGGGGGGGAGACAGTAGTCGGGAGGCGGGTGTCAGTCGGGCCGGCCCAGCTGAGGCCCGGGGACGCCGGAGACGGCCACCACCCGACCCCACCCGGTGGCCGTCCCCAGGCAGGGGAGCGCACTCCGCAGCACAGCAGGCCGCTCCTCAGATAGACGGCCACCACCCGACCCCACCCGGTGGCCGTCCCCAGGCGGGGAGCGCACTCCGCAGCACAGCAGGCCGCTCCTCATCAGATGCTGACCCAGACGGCCGTAGTGCCGACGAAACCTTACAAATAGGGGCTTTGTACGGCCGATATGGTTTACTCAATAAGCTGTTTCAAAGCTTAAAAAGTGTTCTGCAAAGGGGTGCCGTAATGAGTTTGTGCAATCTCAAACAATTACTTCTAGTCGTAAATGCTGCTGTAATATAATCAGGGAGCTTGCACAGAAAAACTCCCTCTTGAAGTCCCGACAGTATGCGCAAAATGCAACGTTTCTGCATTGAGAGACCATGCGCCTTGGGACGGCGAAGATCGGCTGGTTGGAGCGTGCATTCACGAATGGGCGCGGAATCGTGGGTTCGGGCTCGGTTACCGCGCTGGTGTTTTGCCGTCCTCTGTCGAGTCTTGGGTCACGAGTTGTGGGTCATGAGTCGCGGGTGCATGAATCGTGGGTCTGTGAGTCGTGGTTTATGAGGCGTGGGTTCATGAGTCGTGGATTCATGAATTATGCGGTCATGAGTCGTGGGTTCATGGGTCGTGGGTTCGTGAGTCGTGGGTTCATGAGTCGTGAATTTATAAGTTTTGTTACCGCACCAGCATCTCGTCGTCCCTCACATAGACCCGGCATGTGATGTGATGTCAAAGAACATATCAGGAACGTGTACTGTTTAAGGTCCCCCATTAAAATTAAGCCCCTAAGCTTTGATGGGCATTTAAACGCCCTCCTTTTTTTAAGTGATTGGTCCTGTCTACCAATATTCTTTAGTTCGATGTGTCGGAGGTGTTAACATATTGCATTGATCGATGCGAAATCATTCTTTTCGCAAGTAGTTTTCCGTTTATGGTGCAGCAATTCTGCAAGGTTTTGGCCTGAAACGAGTGCAATGGAACACGTACAATCTGGTGAAGCTGTCATTGCTGCAGCATTCTAGCTAAAAGCGATACGGCAGAAAACAAGCAAAACAGCGGCTTTTTGCGTTGTTGTGATGAAATAACAAAACCCTCTAGCAAAATATATTCGAGGATCAGGCATTCCCGGGCAAATGAATTAAATGCACACCTCCATCTGAATATCAAAGATATTGCTTACAAAACCACAATATCTTTCAAAGTGGTTGGTGGTTTATTTCAAAACTGACAGCAGCACAAATCACTACACAGACGCACTGGCAAACTTACTTTTAAAAATGGCACTCTAGCACAACACTTCAAAATTTATTCAGCAATCATACACCAGCAGAAGCCCGTTAGGCTCAAGTTTGGCGAGGGCAGGGCCAACCCGATCGCGGTCTTGCGTGTGATGACGCGCTGCCTGAGATGATCTTGCAGCCGGCTTCCGGACTCGCAGCGGTGTGCGGTGCTGCTCTATCTCGCTGAAACTTCCAGCTATCATTGTTTGCTCTCCGCGGGGTGTTCCACATCGGTTCGAGGATTTATGTTTTCCGCTTCGTATCAGCGGGTACCACTCTTCCGTCTCCCTCAGGAAGAAGAAGGCCGGCTGTATGGTCTCGCCGCTGCTGATCGCCATGCTGACGCAACATCGCTGATCATGCGGCGTCCTCTCGATGGTGTGGTCTGGTGACTAGGATCCCCAAAAGGCGGTGTGTTGGGTGTGGTTCTGGTTCCGCGGCAATCGACTATCCAGACCACGTGCACATACTCTCGATATGGCCTGTGGAGCGTTGGCGGTCGCTGCTTTACCTGTATCCTGCAGGAGAACTTTACGAAGTCGTCAGGTCATTTCCGGCCATTTTCCAGGGCGAACTGCACGGTAAACCAGGGACTAGCCGTGCTTACTCAGAGACTTTGTGGGGTGCTTTTTCAGCGCGTATTTGACCTTATCAAGGCTTCCAGCAGCTCGGTTGGTTTTGCATCCAGATCGCTCGTGAATGTCAATGTTAAAATGCTAATGTTTTTTGCACGCCATCCTCTGATAATCCGTCTCATCACAAAGATAGGTTAATGCTCTTGACGCTACGTAAAGCCCACCCCACCATGGGGCGGGTACCAAGAGGAGAAGCATGAAACATGAATTCCGAGAGAGCGAGCCAATAGACAGAGAAGGTCTGGGACTATGAAAAGGCCTTATCCGGCATAATTATCCTGCGATGTCAGAAACCCGAACGACAGTGATTGCAGCACGAGACGAAAGTGAACCCGAACGAAAATTACATAACACGAAAGTGATCGAAAGCGACTGTTGCGATCTTGCAGCCTGAACTGTTCTGTGGCATAAACGGTCACGTCCCGCCCTTACAGTCACCAAAGCAGTTGTTCTTTGCGTGGTGAAACACAGGGGTGTGGATTGTAATGAGAACTGGCAAACTCAGTGAAATGGTCGCAGAAAAACAGATGGGTAAAAGCCACAGCAGCTCGTAATTGACCAGAACAGAAGTTAGATCACACGTAAAGTTCCGCAACCCACCTCGTTAAGACCGTCCTCTTGCTGCTAACGCTGCTACAATGCCGCAGTCTCAACAATGTTACCGAGACATATATGAAGACACATATATTGCTGGCAATGATTGACTGACGTGCCTGGCATGACTTGTTGACATGACTGATTTTGTAGATCCAAAATTCCTACCTGAACCACCGGAACCAAAACACCAATTGCAAAGCACACTGACTGATTAAGTTGGGCAGAAATTCATTATATATCGTAGCGCATTCAGTTTGCCTGCGATGCAGTCTGCTTCGTGCATAGCAAGCATCGATGCAACCTTGCCCACCACGTGATGTGATTTACTCCAGGGTGGGGCAGGTTGCATCATTTGAAAGGGCCTCAGTCAGAGTTAAGTTGCCAAAAACTGGAGATGTGCACCCCAAAGCCTCACCACTACGCATATAGCTGTGTACCAAATATATGTGCAGATATAAGCATATCAATTTTACCATCAGTAGTTTTATTGTGAGGAAACTTTGGGTGAAAGCTTATGCAAGTCTCTGTACTCTCCCGTACTGAACAAAATGGCTGTATTGGCAGCGCCGGGCACAGTCCAAGGTCCCGCTTGTCTGG